TTCTGGTTTGGTACCAAATATCAAGATATTGAAGCCGGAGCAAGAAGAATGTTTCGCTAATTTCATTGCTGGAAAATATGTTGTGGCTCTACTCGCCACAGCCTCCGTCAGTGGCAAAAGGAGACGGCTAAAGCTAGGCTAAATGCGAATTGCATACGTCACGGTAAACTCAGATCCAATCATTTAAATTTGCAAAAGGAGATAGCCCCTCCCACCTGTTAATGGAGCTCAATGGAGCAAATCCTGACCTTATACGAAACAAAACTAGTACGATGGTGTGGTAAGACTAGGCTACCTTTGTATTCTAAATCTACATCTGTTTATATATATATTATACTGCTTTCAACCTGAGCAAAGACAGCAGCCTCAAGCATCTAGAAACATTAAACATTATCACCGCACATCATCTCCGTTCATGTACTTCTATAGAAATAGCAGTTGCTTGAGGTGAATGTAATTGACAATTATGTGTTGAAGAAATGACTTTCTGGTTATGCATTCTAACACATCCACAATATTACACTCTTGCTGTGTTTATTGTCCTGACAAAATGAGAATGAAACGTCATCCGAAATCAACAGCGCAGATGGCCACTCATGAAAATACAAATGCATGTTTGTTTTTATGTTGTGTTGCAGAATTAATTTGTGTTCTGTTCGGACGAAGAAATGACACATTTATTGAGCTTTCTTTTCAAGTTTTAAATTCATTTTTTATCACGCAATTTACATATAGCCTTTTATTTCATGGACAGATGCGCAGTCCACACTGGGATATGGCTTAGGAGTGAGGCTAATAACCCGACAAGCTGATATATGCTATTAAACCAAACAAATAATGAACTGGATTCGACTGTAGAACGTTGTGGGACAATTGAATGGTGTTTTAGAGCTCCCGGTATCAGCCTTGTAAAAAAATAATTTACGGAAATAATGTGAATAGTGTATATTTCTGATGGATTTAATCTGGGGTTTGGGGTCTTCATCTCCCACTTAATTGTTCTGTCAGTGACTATTTGACACGTTGGGGTGAGAGGTCCTCTCTTTTTCATTTTTATAAATATTTGACAGAGGCCAAAAAATGCAATGCGAGGCCATGAAAAGTACTGGACAAAAAGCCCATAGACCTGTTGAATGTTTATGTCAAAATACAGTGATCTATGTCGCTTCAGACAAAATACTAAGATTTATAGACAGTGCTGTTGACTTGCGTGGATCGCTATCACAAAGTTAAACCACCTTTGAGCGACGGATCGGAGATATGAGGTGAGAAGGAGAATGATATTTGTTACAATGATCACAAATGAATGAAGGGGCATAGAAATAATAGCTGTTTTAACTGTTGTTTCTGTGATTACCGTACGTTTCATACAAATTGTGCAACAGATTTTCTGGCACGGACCACTTTACCGCGGCCACTGACGACAGCTGTTATGATTAGCGTGCGCTGGCTCTCAGTGGTAACAGCTTTGCACACATAATGTTAAACAAAAAAGTCAAAGAAAATAATTAATGTGTTTTTTGACTCGCTACAAACTCTTTCAAAACAACAATACGACAAAGATACATATAGTAATTATTGCAAGACTGCAATTTTAGAACGGCATCTTATTCTTGACCTGTACATAGCACCTTTCTTGCATCCAATGTTTGACCAATCAGATGCCTTCATTCGTGGGGGAAACACCATCTTGCCTTAGTAACCATCTTAGCAACACATCAAAGCTAACATCATTGGTAGCTATCTTATGTAAAAATCAGTTATTTGATATTGATCAGTCCACTTCTACATTTCAAAAACAAAAAAACTGGAGAAAAAAATTGACAGAATACTCCACGATTATAGGTTTTCTAAGCATCTGACATTCAACTTCCTGCCTGTTTTTGTTTCATAATATTGGCCCTTCTACACCAGGTCAACTAATCTACATTTTGACAGCTTTGCAAAAACACATTTCTACCCATCTTCACAGTATATTATGCTTTTCAAAATCTGTGTTCACGCATGTCCTGCCGAATGAGAAACAGCAACACTATCTTCTTGAGGTGTGTAATCATTTGCATTTTAATCTGCATTTGTCACTGCGGCTGGCTGTTGAAATGTGCGGTCCGTCGCGGCGTTATCCGCGGCTTCATATTCAGAGTGATTTGCCGCGTGTGGGGGCCGCGCTCTGCTGAACCGCGCTCTGCTGAACCGCGCTCTGCAGCTCATAATAATGGATGGAGAAGAATAACATGTAAGTGGATTCATGCATTTCTGAAGGGCTTTCTCACCGCAAGGCACAGGTATATAACGGTAGTTCTATGTGCAGGACTTTGGACAGGGGAGAGCGGTGGGGAGGTGAGGGAGGGACCACATTCTCCCAGTGTCTGCATATGTCTAACCTGGCAAAAGCCAGATTGATGATTGTGTAGAACTCTAACGCGTTCTCCGCGATATCAATCTGGGATTTCTCCCGGAGAATCCTTTCGGGGAAAGGAGGGGTAAGCAGCAGAATACTTGAAGCTGATTGGGCGAAGTGACGCTGTGTGCCCGCCTACCAAGGTTGCCGTCCAGAAATGTACCCGGATATCCCGCCCTAAACCCCCAGACTGGCGCGTGATTGGCTCGCACACCCAGTGGTTCGACTCGAAAAGTGTAAGCGGGAGCGGTACAAGATGTATTCTCGAGTGTTTGTGAACTCACAAATACCGCGAGAATTCAGCTTGCAGGCAAGGTTAGGATGAGGGGAGATGAAGGAGGACCCGAAACAAGGATGATAAAACAAAAGAAAATCCAAAAAGAAACCAGGAGCAGGACAGACATGGACAGACACTGACAATGGACCAGCAAAAAGGGAAAAGGAGCAGAGGTACATAATAGACACAGGTAAAACACATTAGGGCGGGGCAGACAATCAAACACAGGGGAACAAGACAGGAAGTCAAGCTAAAAGAAAACCACAGAGAACTAAAGTCAAAATGGAACCAAAAGAACAAAATCCATACCGTGACAGCATGGTTTCCCGTACCGCTAAAAACACATGCAATGGGAGTGAATGTTATGAGCGAGTGAACGGATGGATCAGGTATGGTAGTGGTAGAGTAGAGTAGGACTGGTAGATACTGTAGATAGATAGGTACTTTATTGATCCCTGCAGGAGAAATTCAGGTGTCCAGTAGCAGCAAAAATAAAATTAATCATTCTAAAAAGCCTTCAGGTCACAGCAGCAAAGATGGAGTAGCCTCTGGGTGGAGCAGGGCGGGTCACAGGGTGGAGTAGCCGCTTGGTTCTGACCATTTTCTCTGCTCTAGTCCAAAGTAAAATGCTAAATGTTTCATTAGCATTTTTTAAAAAGTTAACATTCCTCCAGTGGATTTTCACCTGATCCGCTTGTTTCAGACCATGAATCCTCTCCGCTCTGGTCTGGACCGGTGTAAAACCATGAACACATACAAATAAAAATGATAAAGCACATAACAACAACTGTTTCAGAGCTACTTAGGACTTGCAGCCGTTTTCCAGCGCATTCAAAAGTAGAAATTGGGGCTAAAATGTAAAGACATCCCAATAAAACAACATTTCCATGGCAGCTCGGCAACTGCCCCTCCCCTCACGAAATCTAATGTTGTGTGCCTTTTTATATGAATGTAAAACGATTCTGATTTTGATCTTTTTTTTTAAATCAAAAACCGCTTGGCTCGTGTCAAATTGACCACGAGCTCATGCTTAAAGCTCACTAAAATAGCAATGATCTGTAAGAAGTGGCTTATTTTTAGGTGTTAGAAGCTCGTCTAAATTCATGGCCAAAATTCTCCAACACGTTTAAATTCTAACTCCATATTTTGTGTTAAATCTCCATCTTGGGTGTTTGCCAGTGGCTGTCACTTGTTCTTGCCGCCGTGTTCCTGGCTCTTTTCACTCAAGTGCTGTCAGCGCTTGGTCACTCATGCAGAACAACAGCAAAACATCGCTCTTCAGACTGAGATGAGACGTCGGACCCGATAAGATGTTCGAGAGAAACAACATTTTTATTATTCACCAGCAGCTCTGCTCAGCCCTCGACAACCAGCTGGAGGAGATGCAATTAAATCACACGCTATGCATTTTGAGAGCGTGTCTTGTCAGCAGGTGTATTTTTTGACTGTCATGGTTTGGTTAGACCTAGCCTGGTCGTGCCACACCATAGTACAAATGACATTTCGTACTAAGGTCTGGAGGCGCTCCATTGAGCTCCGTTTACAGGTGAGAGGGGTTAACTCCTTTTGCAGATCGAAACGATTGGATCTGAGTTTACCGTGGCGTTTGTAATGGGTCGGCACTAGATCATATACGGAATCGGGACGAAACCAGAAGTAACAATCTGTGAAGGAGTAGTCCCCACTCCTCACCCACAGGTGTATCCTTCCTGTTTTATTTTGAAATATTTAACTTTGTTTATTTTTGCCCTGTCCCTAACTTGTCCCGTCTCTTTTCTTGGAAGGTGATTGGTGGAGGTGCTGGGCTGGAGGCGCGCCCATCCCAGTGCATGCCAGGTGCACCCAACTGAGCAATCAGCTGGGCTCCACCATGATCCTCCAAGAGAAGGGTGTTTCATTTGGACTAAACATTATTTAAACATTATTCACACACCACTCCCGTGAAATAACACCACCACTAATTGTATATTATTATAAATTATTATTATAACATATCTGCATACATTACAAATGTAAGTAGTCATAAATATTGTAAATAGTACAGGCCTACATGGTTGTGTCCCTGGGTGGGTGGAGGTCTTAGTTTGGGCCACTGTATAAAAGGGGATGCTTTCATTTGGCTTGGGGTGTTCCTGTTGTGTTCCGGTTGTGTGCATGGGGAGATGCTGCCCAAATAAATAAGTTATCTTTTGTGCAATCTGCAACTTCTGGTCCGGTGGTTATTTCCTGTCCTGGTGAGAGGCTGTTCCAGTGGCTCAAACGCTACACTTGGTGTCAGAAGTGGGATCGTCGTGCCAATCTGCTGAGACTCACAGGACGAGGATGGGACCGAAAAAGGTACCAAAACCCGCAGAACCGGAAATCACCCCAGATAGTGATTCCGAAGGGGGCGGAGCTGCTGGAGGAGAGCCCGCCAAGGCAGAGACACTTATGGGTGCAGACTCCGAAACCCTAGTTTGCATGTTGCGAAAATGTCTTACGTTCCAGTCTGACCTGAGCAAGCGTTGGAATGAAGAAACGCAGAAGCAGGAGGAACGATGGCAGGAGATGGAGGTACAGGTTCACCGACTCAGAGAGGGCCTGACCGAAGTTGCGAGGCGTAGTCCTCAACACCCCCATGTACATCAACAGGAAGAAGTGGAGCCCCAATCTCCCACGCTACGGGAGCATTCGGGGAGAGGCTGGGCCCAGTCAGTGATTCCAAGGCTGGAGGACAGTGATGACGTTGAGCAATATCTCACCACTTTTGAACGCCTAGCGACCGCATATCATTGGCCAGTGGTCGAGTGGGCAGTGAGGCTTGTCCCATATCTGACTGGAAGGGCCCGGGCAGCCTATGTGGCCATGGATTGCGAGGAATCCTGCATCTACAAGAAGGTGAAGGAGGCCATTCTGATGAAGTACGAAATAAATGAAGATGTTTATCGCCAGCGGTTCCGTGAGCCAGACCTGCAGCCGGGAGAAACGCCAAGAGAGTTTTATAATCTCCTCAAAGACTTGTATTTGAAGTGGATACAGCCGGAGAAGAAGACTAAGGAGCAGCTTGGTGAAGCCCTAGTCTTGGAACAGTTCTACCGTTCACTATCACCAGAGCTGAGGGTCTGGGTGGAGGAGCGCAATCCCACCTCTGGGCCTGAAGCAGCAGAGTTGGTGGAGAACTTTCTATCTGCCAGGCGTGGGCCAAAGATCTTCAGGCTTGAACGAATGTCCAGGAGCAGCGCATTGGAGGGTCACAAAGAATGGCAAAAGGAGGGCCTGGGGTAGACCGTGAGACTGTGCAGCCGCGGCCAGGAGGTTGTGTCTTCCGAAGGGGGAGGAAATGTGAAGGAGTAGTCCCCACTCCTCACCCACAGGTGTATCCTTCCTGTTTTATTTTGAAATATTTAACTTTGTTTATTTTTGCCCTGTCCCTAACTTGTCCCGTCTCTTTTCTTGGAAGGTGATTGGTGGAGGTGCTGGGCTGGAGGCGCGCCCATCCCAGTGCATGCCAGGTGCACCCAACTGAGCAATCAGCTGGGCTCCACCATGATCCTCCAAGAGAAGGGTGTTTCATTTGGACTAAACATTATTTAAACATTATTCACACACCACTCCCGTGAAATAACACCACCACTAATTGTATATTATTATAAATTATTATTATAACATATCTGCATACATTACAAATGTAAGTAGTCATAAATATTGTAAATAGTACAGGCCTACATGGTTGTGTCCCTGGGTGGGTGGAGGTCTTAGTTTGGGCCACTGTATAAAAGGGGATGCTTTCATTTGGCTTGGGGTGTTCCTGTTGTGTTCCGGTTGTGTGCATGGGGAGATGCTGCCCAAATAAATAAGTTATCTTTTGTGCAATCTGCAACTTCTGGTCCGGTGGTTATTTCCTGTCCTGGTGAGAGGCTGTTCCAGTGGCTCAAACGCTACACAATCCTACTTTCGAATTAGTTTTTGACTAAAAAGTCCTTAAGTGGTGACTGGTTAAGTTTAGGCGTCTGATTAAGATGGTTAAGGTGAGGGTTAAGGGTGGGTTGGGGTTATTCTATGGGAATGGCTGGTTAAGTTTAGGCATGAATAGGTATTTTGTTATATTTACTTCCGCTTCCGTCCCGATTCCGTATATGATCTACTGTAGTGCTGACCGTTTGTAATGCGCCCAAGTGACTCCTTAGCAATAGCTTTTAGCCTAGCCATCACCTTTGCCGCTAACGGAGCCCGTGGGGAGTAGCGCCACAATCTTTGCCAGCAATGACTTTTGCTATACATTCCTGTTGCTCTGGCTTCAATTTCTTGATAGAACCAGACCGGAATACTTTACTATCACATTTTTTGCCATTACCAAACTACAGCCTGCCCGTTCAACGCAAACTCTTGACGTCACCCACAACTAACTACAACACCGGCCTCCTGCGCTCGCTGGTTGGTCAACCGATTGTAATCGCTAACACAGGGACCAGACCCAGGCGTTACATGCAGGAAATGATGATTGACCGGAGTGTATGGATGGCTAAGGCCAGGCTAGGTTAGACATAATGGAAAGGCTTTTTTAGTTCAGTGATAGAATTGATTCCTAAGTGTCCATTTGAAAGCTTTAGCACAGTAGGTGTGCTACTCCAGGTCTGCTCATTCATTTCAATGGAAAATAACATTGTATATTAGCAATTTTAGCTTCATCCATTATCAGGAATTTCACCATTAACCCTTTTTTATGCATGTAACTTGATTTGAAAGATTCAACAGTATTTTGTATTAATTTTGTTTGTTGTAGTACTTTCCTTTTGCATTGTCTTTTTAATCATTTTTTTCACAGCACTTTAGTAACAAGGCTTCATAAGTAAAGTGGATTGGATGCTAGCAAAATGGGCAAACTGGAATGAGCAAGGGGTGCAACTCAATGATCTTAACAACAGGTTAGTCCACCGAACAGGCATATTAAAAGTACACTACAACAAGATTAAGTACAAATGGGTCTCTTTTGCTTCATTCAGGCCAAATCAAGAATTTAAGCAAACAACGCTCTGTGCAAGAACGTTCCAATCTGCTGCCCATGTCTCAACCTGTTTTGTGATTTTAAAAAAGGCCATCTTTTCTGCCTACTTACTAAACTAGTTATCTTAATTCAAATGATCTCAGCAGCCAAATGATATTTATTGCAAGTGCATGCTCATGAAACATCAAAAGTGATTTTAAAGGCTGTAACTGTCTATAGACATTTGGACATTTTAGCGCCCTCAAAAATCCATGAAGCCATTTCGGGGGCGGGTTTATAGATTTAACGTATCAATCATCGGGCGACAGTATCTCAGTTGGTAGAGCATTGGCCTTAAGCCCAGAAGGTTGTGGGTTCAATTCCCACCTCTGCACCTTCTCCACCGACTCCCACTGATGACTGCTGTCGTTGTGTCCTTGGGCAAGACACTTAACCCCACTTTGCCCAAAAAGCCCCCACTGAAAGATCAAGGCTATGCTCACACTCAGAGAGCAGCCGTCCTCCTGTGGACTCACCACCTGCAGAGGGTCAGTGAGGGGCTGGTGCTATGAGACTTGGGTGGCATCTCTGACTGCCACCCCCCTGACCCAGAAATGGATTAAAGGGTAGAAAATGGATGGATGGATGGACGTATCAATCAATCTCAAGTCAAACTGGGACTTGACAACAATAATATACCAGAATCAGACCTTGCCACCAAAAGGTTGCCAAAGACGAAAGAATGAACCACTAAACTTATCTCAAATAACTGAAGTTTTGCAATTTGCTGTTGTCCATTCAGGCGTGTGTCTGGCTCCAATCTCGCTGACCAGCCGTAGACCAGATTTATGAGCGGAGGGCCAGATTTGGATTTGCTCTGAGCCCACTCTCAAACCAGTGGCGAAGCCAGAGGGGTAGCCAGGGTGGCCACTGCCACCTCTAAAAATACCCTTGCCACCCCCAGTGCCCCCCTCGGAAGACGGCAATGTAATAATGTTAATCTTGAGAATCTTCCGCACTTTTTCCGCCAAAAGCTAACAATTCCCACGGTTTCCCCCGTCTGTGAACGCACCCTGACTCCGTGTGGAGCCGGTGCTGGATGCTAATGTTTTGGGTTGTTGGACTCAGGTGTGCCCAAGTCATGATGAAAACAAAGAGGTAAGTTAGCAACGCAGAGCCAACCGTTTAAATTTGACACAAAGTATAGACACACGTACTGCAGCGCATTACTTGTTCAGTTTGTAGAACTTTTAGTGTGTGTATGTGTGCGTGCGTGCCTGTATGCGCACCTGTGTGCGTGTGTCAGCGTGCTAGTGTGTCTGCGTGTGTGTGCGTGCCTGTGTGTGCCAGTGTGGGTCTGCGTGCCTGTGTACGTGTGTGCGTGCCTGTGTGCGTGTGTGTGCGTGCCTGTGTGTGCCAGTGTGTGTGTGCGTGTGTATTTTCCATTATTAATTGCCCATCGTATCATCGCCCTCTTCCCTTTAGTGTAAACATTAAATGAAAAGCAGGAGACATTGCGTCTTTTTTTGTAAAGAAAAGGCCTGTAGATCAGGATGATGAAACCTGAAGGTCAGACTCGGAGGCAGTATGTTTTGAGATGATGAGGAATTTGTTGTGTTGTATTAAAATATAGCTTATATAATTGAGTTTCAGAGAATGAGGGGGTGTCGCAGACAGGTGCAAGATTGTCTATTGGCAGAAGGCGTTTTTTCACACACAAAAAAAGAACAAAAATAACTAAGATTATGGATGATGTGCAGTCGCTTGACCCCAAAAAATTTTAGAAAGAAGAGCCCCTGTTTTCATTTGGCAGAACCTTTGAGTCAGATATAGAGGACGTTAAGCATGAGGTATGTCAAACTAGGCGGCTTCTTGGGAGGAAAAAATGGATTAGAGAGTCCCTGTTGGACTTCCTTGTCCTTTTGGAACGTTTGGAAAGTGTTTCATGAGCTTTTGAGGCTTGCAAAGGTCTTTTTAATACCTGTCAGTACTGCGTCTTGTGAAATTAGTTTCTCTGCCCTAAAACTTATTAAAAACCATCTCAGAACTACTATGGCAGATGATTGAGTCATCTTGGTATCCTCAGTGTAGGGTCAAGGAGGGCTGAATATGGATGAGTTTGTCAACATCTTTGCTGCTTTACACCAGAACCGTAGGAATTTGCTAAATTTGTTAAAAGAAAAATGTAATGCAATGTTTGAATTATGTTATTTTGCACTTTTTTGTTCAGACTACTGTTTAAATACACTTGTTTTCTTTGTAGTTTCCAAGTGTGTTCTCAGTTCACTTTATATTAAAAATAATGACAAGATTAAGATTAAAATGTATCGTTTAGCCAGTTTTTGTGTGAAATTAAATTTCGGAATAGTATAAATGTGGACCCCTTAAAAAAACCCTTGTCACCCCCTGGCCACCCTCTGTTTAAAAGTCTGGCTCCGCCACTGTCTCAAACCACCCCCATTCCCCCGCCTCACTTTTGATTCATAGACTGCACACAAGCTTCATACAGCCCTGATGACCACGGGGCTGCAGCGCTCCAGACTTGCTATGGAGTACATTTTGACTTTTCTTATTGGGATGGAACATGGACGTTTTCGCCAAGTGACAGATTGCGATTGCAAAAGCAGACTTAGAAACATGTGTAGAAAGTTATGTTGAGTCTTAAAATGGAGTACGGTGGTCATGTGACATCACAACATTCCAAAGAGCCTCAATTTAATAACAACTTTCTTTGTTTATAGCTCATTTCTGTGCAACTCCTGGGCCCATCCATGTGAAGGAAAAAGCTGTCATACAGTTCCACTTTGAGTTTTTATTTATTTATTTTATTGATTGCATTGATTTAATTTAAATTCCTCATGAAGGTCTGTAAGTGGTGGCAATGTTCAGAATAATATGCATGATGTTGATGTTGATGGATTTTTTAACTTAATCATTATGAAATCCCGATCCTGGAAAACATTTGGACATTTTACTTTTCAAAATGTCTTTCCAAAATGATTCCCTTTAACATGAAGTTGTAATGGCCCCTGCCCTGTGAAGTGAAATACATTTACATTAAGAGGGAGAGGTTGTTTTGCCGCCCACTGTTAAAACGTGTGGAAAATGATTGAATTATATATTTATAAGACATTAAAAAAGCGCCACATCAGAAGTCCTTCTTTATAAAACAGCTTATATCTGTTCAAAGCTGTAATTAGAACTTCTCACCCCGTGTTGCCAGCGCGGCCTCAGGATGTTCTCTGCACGGCCTTGCACATCTCGAACAACACAAGACGTTTCCTTTCTTTTCCTTCCAACA